CTTGACATCTGGACCTGCTCCTTAGAGCACAATACGATAAATCATAAGATAGCTTCAGCCTCAGGACTCCTTTTGTTTCCTTTTGTGGTTTTTAATTTGAAGACCCCGAAGGATTCCACTGCATAATGAGTCTGCTCTGGTTTATAAATGCTACCCTAGAAATTGTTTTAACCATATTCTTCTCTAACGTCTTTGGCATCGTCTTCACTTAATCATTGTGTGGTGACTCTGACCTGTCCTGATTGCTTAGGGAAAGTGTGAGATAGCAAGAGGGTGTCTTTGCTACCTCAGTTAAATGTTTTGGCTGTCAGGCAGGAGGCATTTATGTACTGTGTTCCCCAGGTGGTTTTATTGTGCCCCAAGCAGGAGGTGATTTCAGCCTCTGCTTCAGGATCTCAGGATCACTTTCACTGCAGTTTGTTTACTTTTCCAAGCACAGGTTGTCGAGGCCACTGACCTCTTTTTTGCATAACAGGAGCATGCTCCCCTAACAGGGCTTGAAGTGCTTTTTGACTTCTGTGCATGACCATGGTTGCTACCATCTTTGGAGAAGCCTGTTGGCAGTGGGACTGCTCCTTGTTCGTTCTTATCTCTGGAGGGTAGGAAAAGAACATGTTTTCAGAGAATCTAGGGCTTTCTGGCTGTGGTGCTGCCTCTCTGGAGTAGGGGTAGATCATACCTGAGTCCTCTCCTGGGCCTGATGAGCTAAAACCAGACCCTTTCCCATATTTTCTTGAATAGCAGTGTAGGTAAGCACCTACGTGCACATGTGGGTGGTGGTCCTCCCCTTCCACATTGCCTTAATCTATCATGTAATGAGAATCTGTTTTTATTGAAGGAAGCACTCAAGTGTCCTTGACTTTCCTCAGTGGGTGTGAAGATGTGCAGGGGACCTTTCTCCATCAATGTGTTCTTCCTGCCCCTTCCCTCTTACTCAGCTTCCAAAGGTATGACAGCATTTAGCTTCAGGTACTGGATGTTCCTCAGCCCCTGCTAAATGGAAGCAGCATAGGACAAGAGAGGCATTTTGTAGTAGAAAGGCGTGGCTGCAGCCATTACTCACTGGGGCCTGGATTCCTTCATAAGGCTGATTGCCCAGAGTGATACAGGGACAGGACCAACCCCCATGCTAACGTCCCACTTGCTTCTCCTTTTCAGGGATGGGGGCTCTCATCTAGGCTGAGCCCTGTCTGCTCTGATGATCATACTGTGTGCCTTTCTCCCCAGCTGTGAGTAGTAAACTTACTCCTCACCCAGGCCCTGGAAGAAATGGACCCGCCTTCAAGGGGTGTCTGTGTGTGGAACAAGTCAGCAGGAGCCTTGCTTTGTTCCCTCCTTTCTCAGGGATTCCTGAGTATTCAGCCTAAGTATTGCTGGCTGGGGGAGCCAGGCCACCAGGCTCTCCCTCACCCTCCTTGGGAAGTTCTGACCCCATAACCGTTAGTAGCTGGCTCGTTGAAGGGCAAGTGCGTACGTGCACTTCCCTCCTGTACGCTCTGCAGTGCACTGTAGGGTGGAGGGATGCTTGAGACCGAGTTCCTGAGCCCATGCACTTCCAGTGATTAGAGCTGTGCAGGGCTCATCTCTGGGTCTACAGTACATCATGCTGGAGAGGACCGGGGACCACCCAGCAGGCACCACTGGCTTGCCAGTACCTAAAATGGAGAGGCAGGTCTTCTATAGTCTCAGAAGAACCAGGAACTGACCCACTCCCTTCTTTGTGACAGCACTGGTGTGGGCGATGGTGTTTTCCAGAGGGTCCTGCTGCAGCTACTTTATGATTAGGAACTTTAGTGTCACTTCAGGCTTTCATTGCGTGTGTCTTTGCGTGTGCATGCCGTGCCTAGCCATTGTCGGGGGTGGGTAGGATGTCTAGTATCAGGTGGCTTAGTAGGTGCCACAGTAGCTTCTGCAAACACTGTACTGTCTTGTTTCTGTATTAGTCATAGGTATTACTGTGAATATACTGCCATGTCACTTTTAATATTACCAGTTTTATACTTGGAAAATGGTACTTGTCTCTTTGAAAACTGTTTTATCTTCTCTAACCTCCCCATTTCCTATGCCCTTTCCTGACTGCAGCAATAACTCTTAAAAAACAATTGAATAATTAAATGTCCCAAACTGTAATCATTGGATGGTTGCATTCATTGTAGACAGATCACAAATACAGCAGTTGCTGAATGGGAAACTGGTGAACAGTCCCCCATTCCGTCCCCCCCACACCCCATCCCTGGTGGTGAAGTTGACATACCTACTGCAGTGTCCATCATGTCCAGGCACTTCGGCAGGGACTGTTGTCTCTAGGAACTGTGGTTATGTCTGGCCAGGGAGATCTATAGTCCTGGCCCATAGTTCCCTGGGGCCGTGGTCCTGACTTCCTCTCCATCCACTTGTACCAGAACATGGATTAGCCATCTGGGTGGTCCCCTACCAATTGGACAACGTGGCTCTGTCTGGGCATTCAGAAGCCCATCATTTGGTTTGGGGGCCTATAACACTCCTGGGTAATAATGAATGAGTGCTTGTGTCACATTCTCTTCTGAATAAGAAAGAGAAGGCTTGGGCTGGAGAGATGGCTCAGAGGTTAAGAGCACTGACTGCTCTTCCAGGGGTCCTGAGTTCAATTCCCAGCAACCACATGGTGGCTCACAACCATCTGTAATGAGACCTGGTGCCTCTTCTGGCCTGCAGGCATACATGCAGACAGAGCACTGTATACATAATAAATAAATAAATCTTAAAAAAAAAAAGAAAAGACTTCCTGTGGTTCAGGTAGCCCGGCTTTAACACCAACAAGCTTTTAGTGCATTCTAACAAATCACCCAGATCCCTGGTCACTAGAAAACCCTAAGACCGTCCCCAGTACACTTGAAGATGATCAATCACCAGTCTACCTTGGACAGACCTGGTTGAACTTAAAGAGCAGCTGGGATGCTGATGGCTGCATACCTTTTTGTCTTTGGTGTGGTTCTTGATGGTACCAGGTTGCCTCAGCCATACCCAGCGGTGACAAAAACAATGGCAGACCTACTCTGATAGTCACCAATTATAGTCTGGGTAGGCAAAAGTCAGGCTTTGACAATGCCCCTTTCCCAGGATACTGGGTATTGAACTCAGGGCCTCATACACAGTGGGTAAAAGTCCTACCACAGAGCTGTGTTCCAAGCCCTTTTTTATGTTGTATTTTTAGTTTTGAGGTAGATTCTGACTCAGTTGTCCAGACTAGGTTTGAATTTTTGGTTCTCCTGTCTCAGCCTCCCAAGTAGGTGGCTTCCAGGCCTATGCCCTCAGGCCCAGTTTGACAGGCTTTTCTTGCTGTGGAGATTCTGGCCTTCTTTCCACTTGTGATTATATGTGATTGTCATTTTGCCCCTCCTCTGTTTGGTGCCCTCCCCTAGGACTTCAGTGACCTGGGTTGGTCTGTGACTAACACTAGTTTCTAAAAGCTGTTGCCTGTCACTTGCCAATACAGATTTGTGCCTTGTACAGATTTGGAGCCACCTAAGTGAGCATTTTCAAATCCAGATCCACGGTAAGTGGAATAGGAAGACCATCCACAGCATAGCCCGTCCTCCATGTTTTCTATCTTTCTTCCCTTGCCCTCAGTTGTCAGAGCCAAGCACACTTGGGAACATTGTTGCAGTGGAACAGAGGTGCCGCTGTCTGGGTCTGGGTGGTCTTGATGTTCAGCTGTGCAGACAGACTGCCGGTTATCACTAGCATGACTGGGGAGGGCCAGCAGCCCTCTCAACAGCATGTTCATTTTTCAATGCCACCCTCTTCATCTTCTGACCCTGGGGGGAACCAGTTTACCTAGGCTCATTAGGCTCCAGGCCAAGAGTCATATATGTGAAGACTACAGTAGGGACGGCTGCTCTGTCTACTGCTCTGGATGTCTTTATGGCATACATGCAGGTGTAGATGAGATTAGGCTTGGCTTCCATTCTTAACCATTTTGTCACTTGGGCATTTTCTACACCTGTGAATTCCTAGCCAGGGACCTGACCTGTGTTAACTGTCTCTAACTGCTACAGTAGCAAATAGCCCATTAATAACTATACTACCTTGTCTTCCCTGTAAAGTATCAGCAGGTAAGCCCTTTGCTGAGACAGAGACTTGTAGAAGCGGTCAGAACTGGAGGTCTTAAGATGTTGTTGGTCTCTGATGTAGGCCAGTGTATTAGACAGTATATTGGAAATGACCAATATACACAGAAGGGGACTTAGGGTAAAGAACTGGTTCCAATGATAATGGAAGCCAAGTTGGCTAGTTAGAGGAGCAGTTCCAGCCTACAACTCAAGACCCATGACGTCAGGAATGTACTAATAATCCCAGCTTAAGTAGGAATCCGGAGTTCCATGTGAAGGATAGGCAGCCTTATTGCCCTGTATAACTGATTGAACAAAGCTCACCTATATTAGAGTAATCTGCTTTACTAAGGACCAATTCAAAGCTTAACCTCAGCCTGAATCTGATACCTAATGGCATATCTAGGTTCATTCATACAAAATTAGCTATAATAGCAGAAGGAAGAAAATCATGGCTGTATACTGCCTTTCTAGATGTATGTTCACATGCTGTATGCGCACTTTGCCCTATTCCTGATGCCATTAGCAGTTTTGGTCTCTGAGGTATAACTGGCATCCTCCCTTGGGGACAGACTTATAGCCTTAGTGAGATCATCCCTGTTGGCCAAGCATGTACAAAGCCCTGGGTTTGATCCCCAGAGCCTCAAAAACCAGAACAAACCCCTCTAAAACATGGTTGTGCCTGGGTGGTGGGGGTGAGCGTCTTTTAATCCCAGCACTCAGGAGGCAGAGGCAGGAAGATCTCTTGAGTTTGAGGCCAGCCTGGTCTACAGAGTTGAGTTCCAGGACAGCCAGGGCTACACAGTGAAACCCTATCTCGAGAAACCAGACCAAAACCCTAAAAAGCTAAATATGATTGATTTCAGTTTGGCATGACCTGTTTGGAAAAGAAGGTTCTAGATGCTGAACCACTTGATAGCATAGTTTTATTGGAGGCATAAAAGCAAGTGTCCATCATACAGTGGGGCTTGTTTTAGTTGTGGGGTTTGAGACTGAACTGTATGTCATGACTTAACACAGCTACTTGAATAATGAACTCGAAAGAGTAGAAAAGGAGCAAGATCCAGCCTGGAAAGAACAATACTGCTGCTGGGAAGCCTATGGAGAAAAAAAGACCTTATTCAAACGGCAGAGGAGGGTGACACAGGGAAAGGTGTCAGTTCCTGGTCTTGACACCTACATCTTCCTGTACGGGGACTCATCCCTATATGGAAGTGGTGTTCACTGCAAGCAGCAGGGACCAAGGGCCAGCCTCCTCGGTCTCCTCCCTAGGTGTCTTGTTCAGTCACTCCTTCCCCCCAGGAAATATGGAAAGGGGCGGATCTATGTCATAGACACAGCGACTTGCTCGATGAAGCTGGCCAAGTTTATGTCCCGTTCTGAAAGACCAGCACACTCGTGGGTGCTCAAGGTGATGTGGACCTGAATGAGAGAAAACCAGAAGTTCAGGTGCAGGCAAGTGCCCTCCCAGGAAGAGCAAGAGAGCCACCAGCTGTGGGCTCAAGTCTACCAGGGACTGCAGGATAATAGTCGGTTAATGGAAGTCCTTCTGAGGACAGAAACTCGCCACTAGTCATTCCTGAAAACAGTACTGGCCACTGTTTCCGACAGCTCTAAGAAAGGTGCCAAGCTGCGGACATACCATTTTCACTTGATAATGATGACTTCAGTAATAGGATAAAAAGAAAAATCACAGCCAGATATTAGGAGCAAAAAAAAAAAAAACAAAAAGCAGCGGCCAGCAAGATGACTGTGTGGGAAAAGACACTTGCCAACGGACCTGACAACCTGAGTTCAACCTCCAGGATCCACAGAGTAGGAGAGAACAAACTCCCACAAGTTGTCCTCTGACTTCCACGGGTACAGCACATACATGCCCACACACTACACCAAACAAATGTTTAGAAACATTCTTTTAAAGGCAAAAGTTAAAATCAGAACCGAAGGTGGCCAAAACACATCCTTCAGGTTTTTATAATCAGTCCAGCAGAACTCTTAGCATGCTCATAAGACAGTCTGATCTGCTGGCACAGACAACTGAGTTCCGTTGTATTGCTCTCTCGTTCTTCCATCTAGAATAAAGCCATTGGTGCTGTTTACGGTGGGTATGCCCTTCCTTTCGGCTTCCCTTCTTGGGTTTCGCCTTCCTAATGCCTGGCCACAGTCAAAGTGTTATTCTTTGCACTTATTATCAACAGTGAGACTGGTTGTCTTGTGGGGAGTCTCTGTTGGCTCTAGGAAGGGGATAGATAGAAGTGGCCATCAACTTACTGGTGAGGAAGGACCCACAGTGAGGTCCAAGAGCAAACCTTCAGGAAGACTTGGGGTTCTAAGAGTTGTACAAGGGCAAGGCGGGGCATAACGGGGTGGGTGGGGCAGCTCCACTCACCTTGTTGTACACATTAAACCACTCAGGATGGTGGTCCAGCTTTTCAGCCTGCAGGGCCACTCTTGTCATGAAGCCGAAAGCCTGGTAAAATGAAAGGAGACCCAAACCTTGTCATGGCCTAGATACACGAGGATAGCCCAGCTTCTTCCAGGGGCTTCTGGAGCTCTAGTCCCCTCCCCTGTGGCATTCTGCCCCCGATTCTGAAGCCTGTGATAATGTTACTAGCATCCCCAACGTGGTGCAAACAGTGCAGGCTGTTAGTATTTGCCAGTTCTTTGCTGTTTATTGAAGTGCCTTCAGAAGGACATGCGCTTGCTACCCTCTGGAGGACTGTCCTTCAAAGACTTCAAGTTCCCGGAAGGGAGGGTCCAAGGCCCTTCCTTTTGCAGGTCACTTGGATATGTATTTCCCCTTGCCTAACAGGACATGACATGAACGCAGAGTATGGCCTGGTAAGTCCCCAACTCCACATACCCTGTTGAAGTCTTTAAAATGGAACTGCTTGAAGATGGCGTCCCGGCCTTCCAGCTCATTCCACCCCACAGCCCTCAGATTTGGCAGCAGCTGGTCCCGCTCCTCCGCACTCAGTCTGTGTGCCTTGCCAGCCTAGAAGAGAGAGCAGAGGCCCCAGGGCATTCCTTTTATAGGTCAAGAACATGCCCCCGAGCTTTGGGAGGAATTCAGCTAGTGCTGGCTGCTGTGGACCAAGCGCCCTGTAGCAAGCAACAGACCTGTAGGTTTTCAGGGAAGTGTCCTGCTAAGAGGTGGGGTCTGGGCTGGTTTACTGACAGGCTCTTGGGCCCTATATTTTTTGTTTGGGGCTTTTTGTTTGTTTGGTTTTCGATGTATGTGTTTGTGTGGGTGTGTGCATGTATGTGTGTAGAGGCCACAGGATAACCTCAGATGTCATTTTCATGTATCATTTGCCTTTATTTTAATTAAACAATTTATTTTAAATTGTTTCATTCAAATTTTTATTTTATGTGTAAGGGTGTTTTGCCTTCACATTCTGGTTCCTGAGGAGGCCAGAAGAGTGTGTATGCCCTAAAACTGGAATCACATGCAGTTGTGAGCTGTCACAGGAGTGCTGGGAACCAAACCCAGGTCCTTCGGTATAGAAGAAGCCAGTGTTCTTAACCACCGAGCAACTCTCCAGTCCTCTCTTCCCTTATTTTTTTAGACAAGTTCTCTCACCAAGTAGGCTAAGCTGGCCAGCCATTGAGCCTCAGAGATCCATCTATCTCTGCCTCCCCAGCGCTGGGATCGTAAGTACAAACTAACATTTAAAAAGCTCTTCCTCGCCAGGCATTGGTGGTGCATGCCTTTAATCCCAGCGCTCGGGAGGCAGAGGCAGGCGGGTTTCTGTGAGTTCGAGGCCAGCCTGGTCTACAGAGTGAGTTCCAGGACAACCTCCAAAGCAATACAGAGAAACCCTGTCTCGAAAAACCGGAAAAAAAAAAAAAAGCTCTTCCTCAGGTAAGAAGACCTGTGTGACAGGCTAGAGGCCAGCACTGGGGCCTACAGACCCATCACTGGTGTGTGTACTCTCAGAAACAAGGGACACCACCTCATCGCTCTCCTGCACTGACAAGGGATGCTTGTAGAGAAGGCAACAGAAGTCTGCCCTGTGGTTAACAGGGAGGCCTTTCCAGATCGCATGGTTGATAAGCTGAGCCCTTGAACCAGATACCAACCAGGTATCAACAGAACCCACTGGTTTTTGTTTTTGTTTTCTTTTCTTGCCTTCCAAAGGAGTAGTGGGTACAGGTTAATTAGTGGGATTTAGGGGGGCATGGGGGAGGACGGGGTGGTACTTTCTCTTTAGAGTTTTCAGAACCTCCAAGTCTTAGAATGACAGCACTCTGGACTCTGGGGTCAGAGGGATAAGGGCTTTGTTTGCTTAGCAAAGCTCTGGCAGCCTCTGGCAGTGTGGGCCCAGGAATTACTGATTATCCAAGCCTGTGTCTTTGGTCCCCAATGACCATTCCCAGGCCACCGCTGCCAAAATGCCCTCCCATCCCGGGCCGCTCCAAAGGAGGTGCAGAGAATTGCGCTGTTTGGGAAGAGTTGCGGGTCTAGCAGCTACAGGGGTACCCCTTTCCAAAGGACCTGAGATCCTGACCCATCTCCACACCCAGGTGGGACACAGAATCCCAGCTAGGTGCTAGGGCGGGGACAAGACCGGGGACAGCACTAAGGTGCAGAGAGAACTGAGCCCTGCCAAGATCCCGCACCCCAAGGGACCAGCTAGAGCCAGGGCCACGTCACGGAGACCCGCCTTCCTGCCACACCCTGCCGGAACCCGCCAGCAGACAGGCCAGGCTCCAGTCTCTCCAGGCCCGCCACCGCCGCCACCTCCCCTATCTGCATCCCAGCACCCCTGAGGGCAAAGTGACCCTAGCCCGATGCCATGGCATTGCCCGCACCCCTCAGCATCGGAGCCCTCGCCCCACTTCCAGATCCCCGCTCAGGGTCCGCCATACCTCCTGCACTTACCATGTCCAGGGCGGGTAGCAGGTGGCGGCAGAGAGGGAGAAGGAGAAGCGGCCGGCAGGCAGCAGGCCACCGCGGGGGCGGGGCAGAGATCCGGCCGCAGCCGGGTAATGATTAACGTGGGTCCTCCTTGCTCCACGCCCTTCCAGCGCTTTCTGTGCCCTGTGCTCTGTGAGCATGGCTGCGTGATGGCCTCCAGGGCAAAGACTTTGGCTCCTCGCTCTGCTGTCTGTCTGCTAGAGGACTCTGAGTGCCAGACTGCCTGACCTGTTGTTATATCAATAACGACAAAAGGCAAAAGCCACGCAGATAAAAGCGACACACACTGAATTGCACAAAGGTAAAGAGCACCGTTGTAACCTTCCTGGCAGGAGAGAGGATATCTAAACGGAGACACTGTGTCCCTCCATTGGGCTGTCAGCTTTTGAAACAACGGACCCCCAGAAATCGGAATTCCCCTAGGAATCGCGTTAGGAGAAGGAAAAGGCCGAGAGCTGGTGCCAACCAGAAGAAAACTTGTCTACTGGAAAGATTTCACAGCGTTCTGACAGCTTGCCAGACCACGTTGAAGGTGACCACTCACTGACTGCATCTGCTTAGTTAGGCATTCCTCCTGTCCTCCAAGATGGACTTGGAGGATCCCGGACCTCTTGGCTTCTCTTCCCAGTGTGGCCACATCGAATACAATCACCACCTACCTTGTTCTGCATTCCAATGTTTTAATTTTCAAAACGATGTATTTATTTGTATGTATGTGTGAGTTTGTGTGTGTGTGTGTGTGCATGAGTTTATGTGCACAGCATGCATGTAAGTGCCATGGAGGCCAAAAGGGAGCATTGTGGATCCGTTGGAACTGGAATTACGTGCTGTTGTCAGCTACCTGATACGGGTGCTGCGAGTCAGATTCAGATTATGTGCATGAACTGAACCTCTGCGATGACTTGTCTCTTTAGTTGGCATATGGAGAACAGATGGCCAGGCCTGGCTTGTTAGGGCTGCCAGGGCCCAGGCTCTGACCCTGACAATTCCAGAATCAGGGTGAGACATATGCTTCTCTTAGGAAACCTTCGGCACAAAAGACTAGGAGCCTCAGCTCTGAAGTCCCTTGTGCCACCTGGTACCCTCTCCTTCCAGGGCTCCTCCTAAGCCAACCATTTTCAGTCGCTGTAGAGTAGTTTGAGTTTTCTAGACAACTCCATACACAAAACCACATAGCATATACTCAGCTTACTTGTTTTGAGGCCTATCCCAAGTGTTCCATGTGCCAATAAATCTTTGTTTCCATGGCTAAGTAAAAGTATTGTCTCCTTGGCTCTGGAAGGGGTGGTGGGTATAGGTGAGTTGTTGGGAGGGGCTTCTCCTTGTCTTTAGAGTCTTCAAGAACCTCCAAAGTCTGACTGCAACCCTCTTAACTCATTGATTGGACTGTGAAAGTCCCTAAAAGGTACTACCCTTTCCACTGAACCTTCTATGAGACTGATCCTAATGCTGCCACCCTTTAATAAAGTCCCTCGTGTTGTGGTGACCCCTGTCTTAGTTAGGGTTTCTATTGCTGCGAAGAGATACCATGATCATGGCAACTCTTAGAAAGGAAAACTATTTAACTGGGGTGGCTTAAACATTTTCAGGGGTTTAGTCCATTGTCATCATGGTGAGACATGGTGGCTTGCAGGCAGGCATGGTGGCGGAGAAGGAGCCAAGAGTCCTACATCTTGACTTGTAGGCAACAGGAAATGGTCTTTTTCAGTAGGAGTAGCTTGAGCATAGGAGACCTCAAAGCCTACTCCCACAGTGACACACTTCCTCCTACAAAGCCACTCCCTTTCTTTCAAACCACAACTTCCAATCATAAAATTATTTTCATTGCTACTTATTAACTGTAATTTTGCTACTATTATGCAATGCAATATAAATATCTGGTATGTGACCTCTGTGGGTGTCGTGACCCACAGGTTGAGAACTGCTGGGAGCCTCAGTGGTTCTGGAGAGTTAAGAACACTGTAGGTCCAAAACCTGATCATCCTTAACTCCCTTAATAGTCATTATTTCCCTGCATATGTGGCCTAGTATGTTGGTGACTGGTGGGTAAATCCTTTGAAGCATACAGAGAACTAGTTTCCACCAACCCAGTGGCTAAAACTGGCTACCAGGTGACATCTCGTGAGGCCTGTAGCTGAGACTTCTCACTGTTTGGGAACTCATCTCCCTGATGTTTCCACCAACGTACTTGAAAAAAAAAGTCTTAAAATTTTTTTTTGTTCTGTTATTAGAAAAATATGAAACTGTTTACCATGTTGGAACATGGAATTTGAGGTAATCTGAGTGTTCCTGGGCCTCCATCACTCACATTTGGTTCCAGAATATACTCTCTGTGTCCTTTTTTGGGTGAGTGAGTGTGTGTGTGTGTGTGTGTGTGTGTGTGTGTGTGTTTTCGCCCGCACATGCTGCTGACAGGGCTATTACAAATAAAGTGGATAGAAGTGGTCATGTGCAAAGCTTGGAAGCAATACATGCTTTCACTTTGTGGGGAGTCAGTATGTAGGTGAGGAAGAAAACCTGGATTGTATAATAGGACATGTCTGTGAAATCCTAGGGAGCCGGGCATGGTGTCGCGCACCTTTAATCCCAGCACTCGGGGCAGAGGTAGGCGGATCTCTGTGAGTTCAAGGACAAGCCTGGTCTACATAGTGAGTTCTAGGACCAGCCAGGACTACATAGAGAGACTCAGTAAATAAATAAATAAATCTTATTGATGTCACATCGGCAGGATGTATCTCTTCCTAAGGTCGAGAGTTTTAAAAAAATGTATTATCTTAATTTTAATTTTTGTGTGTGTATGTGTTTGTGGTCACAGAGCTGGAGTTACAGTGGTGAGCTATGCAACGTGAGTTCTGGGAATTGAGCCCAGCTCCTTTGGAAGAGCAGTAAGTGCTCTTAGCTGCTAAGCCGTCTCTCCAGTCCCTGAAGGCCCAGTTCTTGCTGAGAATATTAGGCGAGTGGTTAAGTGCTGTTATTGCTGTTGAGAATGTTAATCTGCAATATGTGTTTATTGTGTGTGTCCTTCAGTGGATTTTCCGCTGATGATATTTTTTCTTTACTGCCTTTAAACAAACGAAGCTATTAGGAACTAGCCACTCCTCTTGATTGACAGCCCCAGGCCCTTTCTTTGTGCCTGGCTGCCTTGAGCTGGGGGACCAAGCAGTCCTTTCCTTGGCAATTGGTTCCACTGTCAGCGTGACAGGCAGCTGCTTTGACTTCCTTCTGGTCACTCTGAGAGAGGCGTGCCACTCCAGGTACCAAGGCCACTGCAATCAGGGCAGCCGCTGGAGCCAGCCCTGCTGTTAGGAGACTTTGCTGCAGTCACGACCGTTCCAGGCAGGATGCACAGCCTGTAAAAGACTGGGAGACACAGGCCTCAGTGAACCGTAGATCATCTTGTTCTCCCGACAGCACCATTCTCGCTCAGCGTGGAAGGGGGAGGGAGCTCACCAGAGACTCAGTAAGAAGCCTGTGGTTGGCGTGTGTGTGTGTGTGTGTGTGTGTGTGTGTGTGTGTGTGTGTGTATTCATGTGGGCACATGTACCACCACATGGTTGTATGGGAGTCAAAAAACAATGTGTAGTAGTAAGTCCTCTTTTTCCATCATGTGAGTCCCTGGGATTGAACTCAGGTCATCAAGTTTTATCAGCAAGCGCCTTTAGCTGCTGAGCCATCTCATGGGCCCAGTTCCTCCTTTTCTTTTTAACTGTATTGTCCGGACCATTGTTAGAAAACCAATTGGCTTGATTCCAGGTGCTTACTGACCTACTGTCCATGGAGACAGGCACATCACTGTCTTGACCACCACAACTTTGTAATAAGTTTTAACACCTGGTACCTAAGTCTCCCAACACATAAAGCATTGTTCTCTATTAACCTTTCTTCCTACACGCCTTTTCTTCTCCCCTCTGTAGCAATATAGCTAATGTGCTAGTATAAATTCTCTGTATCTATTTTTGTAAAACTTGTGTTGCTTCATATACACATACATATATATGACTATATTATACATATATTACAAGAGTACTATATTACTCATTGTTTTGTATAAAACATAACACTTAAGTCAGATTTGGTCCAGTCCAGGATGCCTTGAGTACACTTAATCTAGAGTGGCAAAGATTCTAACCACTGCTCTGCATTCTGTGATGAAAGTCCACCCTGGTTTCTCACCCTACCAGTGATGGCCACTCTCCAACTCCTTACTCAGCCACACCATGATCACCCCAACATCACATGAGCAGATGTCGTCCCCCACCCCCAGGACCCAGGGCAAGGCTGTACGTGGATTTTCAGCAGCTCCCAAGCCAGTGGGAAGATTCCTACAAACACACCTGCATGGCCAGCACACTTCCCCTCACAGGTTTGCATCTCAGAACCTTCCAGATGTTTCCAGAACCAGGACAGCGGCAGCTGTTCTCACTTGTGCCATGTGAGTGAGGGTTCCTGTTTTCTCACACATCTCGCCCTTGGCAGTGTCAGACCTTTCTTTCTTTCTTTCTTTCTTTCTTTCTTTCTTTCTTTCTTTCTTTCTTTCTTTCTTTCTTTCCTTTATCCCTCCCTCTTCCTTCCTTCGTTGTTGTTGGGCTCACAGCTACAGACTGAGAGCTTGAGACTTGGAGATTTTTGCAGGCTTATCAGCATTTGAGGTGCACTGTCTGTGAGTTGCTTTTTCATATCCTTTATGCCGTTCTTTTGGAATTTGTTTTCTTTTTAGTCGACTCTGTGGGAGTCCCTGTGTAGATGGCACCCCTTATCATCTTCACATCTTGCAAACAGTCCCTGCCACTCTGCTGTGTGAACACTCGCGTCAGCCCTGATTTCTCTTATACCTGTTGGGAGGAAGGAAGGAAGGAAGGGAGGGAGGGAGGGAGGGAGGGAGGGAGGGAGGGAGGGAGGGAGGGAGGGAAGGATGGCCAGCCAGAGGGCAACTTTCTGGAGTTGATTCTCTTCCTTTGATCATGTGGGACTCAAGGACTGAACTCGCGTTGTCGGGTTTGGAGGCAAGCACCTGTAGCCAGCCCTCTTGCAAGCCCATAGGGACATGGCGGTTCCTCTGATCTTCGTTTAACAGTGGTTCACTTTCATGTGGTCATCTTCATATGATGGGCGTTTCTTTTAGCATTTCTGTTTTGTCTTGCTGTGTAGTCTACCTTGTGAGCCTGTTGCTTCTCCCTTCCAAGAGGTGGGATTACAGTAATGTACAATGAAACACACATTAGCATTTTCTGAAGAGGAGCTAGACAAGTATCTTTCCATGTTAGTAGAGGGACATTAATGTTGTGATCACTGCTCATTTTTATTTTTATCTATTTATTTCAAGGCAGGGTTTCTCTGTGTAGCAGCTCTGACTGTCCTGGAACTCTCTCTGTAGACCAGGCTGGGCTCGAACTCACAGAGATCTGTCTGTCTCTGCCTCCAGAGTGCTGGGACTAAAGGCATGCACAACCACGACCTGGTTATCTTTTCTGGTTTAGAGACGAGGTTTATTGTAGTCCTGGTTGGATTCAAACTCCCTGTGTGGCAGAGGATGACCTTGGCCTTTTTTGATGATCCTCCTCCTAGCTCCTGAGTGCTGGGATTACAGATGCATGCTTCTTTGCTTTTTTTATTGACATTTTGAATGCAACAGTGACTTCCCACACCACGTGCTTGTTGGCTGCCCATGACAAAAAAAATTCTTAATAGGTTCTGTGTTCGTGCATGCGTGCATGCATGTGTGTTTTGGTGGGTGGAAGAATATCACCCAGGTACCTGAAGCCATGGTTGCTTTGGCTCAGAATAAATGTTTACTGCTTCTGTAGCAAGAGCTGTGTTTCTTGTCTTTAGAGGTTGTATTTATTTTTAACATTTCCTGTGGGACTTTAGGGGGGGCAGTGTGGAGATTCAGCCTCGATGCTGAACTACAAGAGAGATAGATTCTCCGGCTGGAGAGATGGCTTGAGGTTAAGAGCACTGGCTGCTCTTCCAGAGGTCCTGAGTTCAACTCCCAGCAACCACATGATAGCTCATAACCATCTATAATGAGATCTGGTGTCCTCTTCTGGCATGTAGGCATACATACAGGCAGGACAGTATAATATACATGTTAAATAAATAAATCTTTTAGAGAGAGAAATAGATTCTCACTGAATTTAAGGGAGAAAGTGTCTTACAATAAAGTAACAATTTTCAGCCGGGCATTGGTGGTGCATGC